GACAGTCAGCACAATCAGCACATGGAACAGAAGTTGCCTTCAGAAGTTGTGGGAGCTTCATCAATGGAGGCTTTCAAGAAGAGACTGGGCAGTCATCGGTCAGAAATGGTGTAGGGTCTCCTTGGATGGAGGGTTGGACTAAATGACCTACAAGGTCCCTTCCAACTCATCTGTTAATCTGCTATATCTGCTAAGTCCTGAATTTGAAGACGTTCCTCAGACGTCTTCAGATTTGAAGAAGTCTATGTCTAGATTATCACATATTTGGGGGTTGTATGGAAAACAAATGAATCACCTCAGAGTCTAAAGCGACCTGGGATTTGCTCCTCACCAGAGCTATTTTAGAAGCTGTGAGTAAAGATTTCTGAAGCTGGATGGAAAAGCTGCCTTTGTCTTGGAATTTAGTGGGCTGAAAATGTTGTGGAGAGGAAGGAGGAGGAGGAGGGGGGGAGGCATCTCAGAGCAATTTGAAGACCTTTGGATCCAGTGGCTCCCTTAGAGGGACGGGGATGAGAAGACCAGGGTGGAGGGCACTCTTTGCAAGCAGTAGATCACTTTCGATCCAGACCAAAGGATCTCCCCTCGGAAGATGAAAGTTGCAAATGAGGAGAGAGAACAAATGTAAGCTTTCTGCCTTCCTCCATCTCACACTTTTCAAATCTCTAGAGATGATGATGATGATGGTTAGATTTTTAGCCCACTGTTGAGATCACAATCTTCTTGAGAACTTCTTGAGAAGTAATCAAGTTGCATGAAAAAAAACACACACCCAACCTTCCAGTGGTACCTGTTTTCCTAGAAGAGAGGCATCTTAGGTGGCTTCAGCATCTACTGAGACACAACTGTGGAGCTGTGTTTCCTGCAAACCTTCCTCTCGGGAAACTTGGTGGGGAAGGCAGTGAAGACCCTAACCCATTAGCAACACTGAATATGAAGCTCACGTGAGCACATAATATGGATCAAGCAGAAGGCATCAGAGAAGGTTCGGTTCATCTTCTGCTCCATCCCACCATGTCCTCCAAAGAAGGTGACCCTTCTTGTCAAGAAGGCCACCGTCCAAGTTCTTCCCTTGCCACCTTCTACAGTTTTGAGACCTCGCCTAGTCAACTCTCAAATTTGTTCATTAGACACCACGGGGAGGATGCAGTTTAGAAACAGATGGGAAGCCCAGCATGGTTAGAGTGGCAAATAAAGATGGGATTGTATTTCACAGGGCCCAGGCTGAAGAACGCTACGGGAAGGAGCTGGTTCAGATCGCCCGGAAAGCAGGAGGCCAAAGCGAAATCAAGTAAGCCCATTTTGGTGTCACGTGAAAAGCAATTATTTCTTCGTTTTATATTAAAAGTCAATGTTATTAATTGACGGTGAGGACTTGTATCTAGGGGTTGATAGAACATAGGAACCAGGATTGGCAACAGCTCCTACCCTTGATCTAACTCTTTGATAAGATTCTTCGTGGTGGCTTTCAGTTGAATTTCCATCATAAGTCGTGATCATCATAATTTGACGCGCTTATGTGATGACAGGGGCTGATTTTGTGACTGTTTTGTGCAGGTTGTTAAGTGAATACCACAATTGTTAAGTGAATGAGGCAGTTATTAAGTGAAACAGTTGTATTCCTATGGATGTTTTTTGGCCCGTGCTGGCTGGCGGAATTTTGGGAGGGTTCCACCACAATACCGCGAAGCCCTTATCCGCGGAGACATAAGCGCGAACCCTAATCCGCGCCGTCCGAATCGCTAAAGCAAA